CCCTGGACTGAGGCGGGCCCGGCGAGGTGGGAGCGTGCTCGGCACCTGCGGGCACCCCGCTGGTCCCCATGCCCACTCCATCTCCTCCAGTGCCCACGAGCCGCTCGCTGTCCTCCAGTGCAGCCGAGGGTACTCGAACCCCGAACCACCGTGGCACGGTACCCGAAGATACCCGCGGCCCCCAAGAGGCGGTGACTCTCAGGACCTTTCAGAAAACCCTTTGGCTGAAGATAGGCATCCTGCGATCCGGGATGCGTCTACCTCCGCCAGGCTGCCCCGCGCTTGGTGCCGGCATGGGGTACCCAGAAGGCACTAGACGCCTGGCGGCCGCTCTGCATCACCCACCGAGGGCTGGAGCCGCACAGCACTTCTGTTGACGGCACAAATAAATCAGTCAAAGCCAGACGCATTCGTGTATTTTTTTAAAATAAAATTTAAATTTAAAACAGAGGCCAGCAGATGGCGTAATGGTTATGTCGCTAAACTCCCACGTAATTGACGGTGGTTCGAGTCCCCGCTCCGGTTGTTTATAAACGTCGAGCGCGTGCGCGTGCGTGTATGCCCAAATGCCAAGAGGTGACTGGAGGAGAAAGAATTACGCGTGGCCACCTCCCCGCCCCGGGGAGGCGATTCTCGCTTTCTGTCTCTCTGCCTCTCTGGTGAGCGCATGTGCCCTATAGCAAAGGGGGGGAGGGGGGCTAAACGGGAAGAAGACTGGGAGCGAATGTGACCAAGTTCAAGCCTTGCGGCCTGGGGGTCAGGAACGTTTCCACTTTTCTTTCTTTAATCCCGTAGAGGCGGTAAACAAATGCTTTCTACGCCCAGGCGGCAGGGGCCGGGCAGAGGGAGGTGAGCCGGGGGGCTCAGGAACGAGGGCGCAGGGAGGGAGCTGCAGCCCCAGGAAGGACGGAGACCGGCTCTTGAAAGTACAGGACGGTGACAGGGAACGAACGCTGGGCATGACAGAGGAAGTAACTCCGCCAGGGTCTGGATTCCGAGGCGAAAATTCTAGTTTGATCAGGTGTCTCCGGTTTTCCACCTCTGCGAGAAAAATGCTGGCGAGTAAAGGAAAATGTCCAGTAGGCCCCAGCGAGATTTGAACTCGCGACCCCTGGTTTACAAGACCAGTGCTCTAACCCCTGAGCTATGGAGCCAACTGCGATCGTGGTGCTCGCGCACAAGCACTTGACTGCGCCACCACCGCCGCGCAGCCGCAGATCGCGGGACTGGGAAGTCGGACCGCGACGAGGCGGAGCTGATGCACTCCTCTGACCCGCAGCCATCCAGGGACAGCCTGCCAGCCCCGCCAGCGTTCTGCGCAGGCAGCAGCTGCTAGAAACGGGGCCGCGCCGTGGTGGTGGCTCCCAGGACCGAGCAGTGAGGAGCCTCAGGGCTCTAGGCTGGGCGGGGGCGTGACCCGGACTTCCGCAGGGCTGGGGCGGGGCTGTCAGGGGTGAGCGGTCGGAGCAGGGGCAGGGGCGTCAATGGCCCTGTCCCGCCGGGGAGCCAGGTCGCAGCTGCCAAAGTGGGACGTGGGCTACGCGGGGAGGTGAAAGGAGTGGAGCGATCCGGAGGCGGGAGCCGGAAGGCAGCGTGGGGAAACTGGAAGGTCGGCGTTTGGCCTTGCCGCCCGAGAGGAAGACAACCCTTAGGGCGAAGCTCATTGGAGGAGCGGTTTGTCAGGAGCCGAGGGCCCCCGCAGGGTGGAGGACAAGGAGAGGTCCAGGGTCCAGGCGAGGGAACGGAGCCCGAGGCCTGGCGGAAGACAAGTGTTGGCCGTGGGTGGGAGACTTTGGTGCCTTGCTTGCCAGATGGTCCCTGCATGCCCAGGCTAGAGGCAGCCCCTGGTGTCCTGGATGCCGAAAGAGCCCTGTGAGGGACTGTGACAGGGGCCTGGAGTCTCGTGGCTCTGCAGCTACGGGGACCTGGGACCAGTGGGTAGGGTGAAGGGCCCAGGCCAGGCCAGTCACTGCTCTCTGAGAGGACATGCTCCCACACCGGCACTGTGACATTCAAGCCACGGTGCTGTCCTGGTGACCAAGAGGACGTCCCCACGTTCAGTGGTTACAGTGATACTCGTTACATACTGTGGCGACATGTGCTTGCACCTATGTCTCTGAGATTTGGGTTTCTGCGTAGTGACTCCACAAAGAACATTTTCTGAGTCATGCAATTAAATTCACAAACGCGAAAACTCAAAACACACAAGAGACAACCGACCTCCCGGTCCCTAGCCCTGGCCCTACAGACAGACGTGCGTGGTGCCCCCACCAGACACCGCCCTCTGTGACCTGCAGGGTGACCTGCCAGGGATTCTCTGCACAGGTGGATCAGAACGCCAGCCTAGCCAGGTGACACTAGGGCTCTCGATAACCTTAAGCAGTTTCATTAGCAAATGAATATTAGAAACGGGTCTTTCTGTGGAACTCAGTGGACAGCACCCATGCTCCGGAACGTGCATCCGTGCACACAGGCGCAGGCCTGCCCTCTGGGGCGCTGCTGCGGGCTGGGCTCTTGCATGGCTCTAACTCCGGCCCACAGGCCAGGTTTGAAGGCCCAGTGCTGTGCCAGCTGGGTCACCCAGAACAGGGTTAGCCAGGCAGCCAGGTACTGGGGGAGCAGCCCACGGCCCTCACCAAAATATGGGGAGCTACTCGTTAACAAGAGTAAGGAGGTGCCCACAGACTAGCGCTGTCTGGCACACCTAAACCTTCGCACACGGTCACACGCGCCTGTTCACGCCAGCTGACACCCTATGCACATGCTCACAGATGCCCTCTCCAGAGTCCACACGCCTCCTCCCCCCAAACCGGGGGTGCAAGTGCACATGTGAGGGCTCCTTACACACACACACGTGCTCACTCGCTGAGGCGGAAGCCCTGTTCACGCTCATGCTCCTGCACTCAGACAGGGAAGACGAGAGAGCAGGCCCAAACTGGACTGACGGCCTGTATTCCTTCCCCTTCCTCGGGCAGTGCTAAGCATGGGATGGCCACCACCCCCTCAGTGAAGCTGGGGAGCAACTAGCCAAGAGGACGGCGAGGCTGGCCAGCAAGGGACCGCCAGGGCCCAGGCTGAGCAGGTCATGGCCCCAGGCACCCTGCTGCTGGCAGGTGGCAGCTCCAGCAGAGCCTGTGGGGGAGCGTGCTGTGCTCTGCGTTCTCTGCGGTGGCTCCAGGCATCCGGGACGTCCTCATGCCACCTTGCATTTCAGAACCCCAGAGCCTTGGTCCCTCTGCCCAGGGAGACCACTTTGGCACTGGAGATACCGGCGGCCGGCCACGGCGATCCAGGACACGCACAGCAGTCTCGTCTTTGGGCTGAGGCTGAGAGCAGCATTGCCCACTCTGTGTCTCTGTGTGCCAGCCAAGGGTCCTTGCAGCTCGGGCCCAGACTGTCCTCTGAGCTGGGAATGTTCCAGCCAGCTGGGCCCGGGGGCCTGGGGACCTCACAAGGCACTGCACAGCTTTCAAGAAAGCAAACGGGACCAGCAGGTTGCATGGTGGTTAAGGCACTGGACTTCCACATGGGGAACAGCAGTTCAAGTCCCAGATCTGGTGACCTGAAAATCAGGTCTGGTGCGTGTGCCCAAAATCCTGGGAGAAGGGATTGAGGCACCTCCCACCCTCGTTGTCCCTCTCTGCCCTCTCCATAGAGCACACACGCCTTATGGAAAAAAACTTAAAAAACAAAAGAAAAAAGAAAAAGTAGGCAGAAGAGACTGTGAACCTGCTGCCCCGCCCAAACCTGCCTCGCTGTCACTGAGGCCAGCACAGGCCCAGGGTCTAGTGTTTCGGGAAGCAGGGGCCCTTCTGAGCCAGGGCAGTGAGGCGGGACCTGGGCTCCTGCCTTCACTGCCTTCCACTCCGCTGTTCACGGCTCAGGCCAAATCCACGGGCGAAGACACAGGGGGCGCAGGGCCAGAGAGTCCGAGGCTGTTCGCTGCTCAGCGGGCCACAGTCCCTGCCTCGGAGTTCGGTTCTGCCCAGCCCCTCCGAACAGCTGGGGCTGTGGGAGGGTACACCCTGGCGGGCCAAGTGGCTCTGGCGGAGGACATACCTCCCCAGGGACAGCCAGCGGAGGGGTCACCGCGCCCTCAGGGCCAGATGCGCAAGTAGGTGCCAGTGGAGCAGACGGAGAAGAGCGGGAACACGCGCTCACGGAAGTCCACGCGGAAGGTGTGGAGGTGGCGCATGTCCTCGGCGGCGTAGAAAGACACGGCGCCCACCTCCAGGTCCAGGGCCACGCGCACCCGCGCCAGCTGCCCGCAGCTGAGCGCCGTGCGCTCCGGGCTGGTCACCGCCCAGTACTGGCCGTTGTTGCGCTGCAGCGCCCAGACGCCCTCCTCGGGGGTGAAGGGCGTGAGGCCCTTGCGGCGGACACTCTCGCGCGCCACGCCGAAGGCCCAGCCGTCCTTGGGGCCCACTTCCACCTCCCAGTGGTGCCGCCCCGAGGAGAAGCCACAGGACGCCAGGACTCGGGTGTTGGTGTCGAAGCGGCGCGGGTGGCTGGGCAGGTCCTGGGCCCGCTGTCCCAGGCGCACACTTTTAAGATCCAGAGAGAGGATGAGGCGAGGGTTGGCGGTGTCGGGGTCCAGGGTGAGCTCCACTGTGGGCAGAGGGAGAGGTCCCCATGCAGGCCCCTGCACAGCGGCTCTGCGCCGGCGCCTGCCCTCCGCAGACCAACTTCCCCTCCTCCCAGAGCCCTTCAGGAGCCCCGCGCCCGTGCCCGGCCCTCTGCCTCCCTCACTCATCAGTACCCATCCAGAGCACACGCAGTGAACAGGCCTGATCCCACCCCAGTTCCCGCAGCTCAACGAACCCAGCCCACAAGATCCCCCAAGTCCGAACGTTAGGCTTTCGAGCGCAGCACCAGGTTCGCCGCGAGCAGTGCTGGTTTTGTGACCATGGTTTTTAAAAGCCTGTCTCTTCAGAGAAAACCCCTGAGATGTTGTGGAAGCCCCCCGACTGCTGGAAGTGTGAGCTGGAGTAGTAAGTGGCGGTGCCTATGCCGAGAACCCAGGGCAGCGGAGGTGTGTGCTTTTTCACAATAAAACGTTTAAATATGGACCACTGTGCCCAGCTCGACTGGAGGCCCTGGGAGTCCCAGAGAGCAAGAGCCCTCCCAGCCAAGGGAGGGCGAGTGGCTCCTAGGAGGGGAGGCTCGGCAGAGCAGCTGTTTCCCCCACAGTCCTAGGGCCCGTCCTCCCCGAAAGGAACGTCCAGCAGACATGAAGCCAGGAGGCGGCTGGCTGGGGCAGGAGTGAGTGCCAGGCCAGGGGAAGCAGCGCAGAGCACCGGGTGGTGGCTTTCGGGTCCTAGGAGCAGTCGGAGGGCGAGTGGCTGCACCAAGGGGCAGAGCATGACAGGGGGACAGATGCTGGGGGCCTTGACAGAGTGACGGCCTCACCGGGTGGGCAGAGGACGGGCCTCACTCGGGCTTAGGTCTATGCAGGCCAAGTGGAATGCGTCTCCTTCCCCTCCCGGCCTCCTCCCGGCCTCCTGTCTGTGTTGGGCCTCCCACTCCAGAGCTCTGCAGGAGCCAGAGCATGGCCCTCCCCACTCGCCCCCTGCATGCCTCTCCCAGGCAAGGCCTCCTCCTGGGCCGCAGTGGGCACAGGGAAGAGAGGCTGTCCAGGGACCGCAAGCCTCTCTCAGTCCACACCCTCCAGGTGCAGGGCTCTCTGCCTCTGACCCCAGCCAGCGAGTCTGGCGCAGAAGTGGGAGGGGAGAAGGCAGGCATAGTCCCTGAGACCAGAGGCCCCGCGGGGATCGGGTTGCCCAGATGGCCAATGACAGTGCTCATGGTCACAGCTGCCACCTACCTTTCTCCTCTTTCTCCAGCTCTTCCCGAAGATCCTCTGAGGAGAACACAGAGGATGCGAGTGAGCCGCAGGGACCCTGTCGCAGTCAGAGGTGCCCTGCCAGCTCCTGTCTCAGCTTCTTGATACCCCCAGGCTGGGGCAGGAGGAGGCGGGGCAGACACCCAAGTACCCGCCTCACCACCCAGCGCAGGCAGCCCACACCCGCGCCCCACCTTTGAACTTCTTCAGCAGCCCCTTTAAGACAAAGGTCTTGAGGGAGACATTCCAGACCTTACTCTTCATCTCAGAAGAGACTGTGGTTGGCTTGGGGCCAGGCACGGTGCTGCACCTGCAGGACAGGGACTCTGAGAAAGCGCAAGGCCACTGTCCCCTCCTCTGGGGCCATGCCGGTTGGATGGCAAGGTCCTCCTGGTAGACCGGCAGACTGAGGTGGGGAGGGACCCCTGGGCAGGGAGGCGAAGGTTTGCCTTGGAAGGTACCAAGTAAGGGACGGGGGACAGGAGGCGCGAGGCAGGGAGGAATGGGAGAGAACTCGATGGAAAAGGAGAGGAGCCCGTCGGGAAGGCCGGCCGCTCACCTGTTCAGTGTGTTTCTGAATCCCTGGAAGGAAAGATGGCAGAAAACCAAGTTGTCGGTCACCTCCACTTACTCTGGAGAAGACGAAGCGTGTCCCTGCCCTTCAGAGAGCAGGCGGCAAGCAGGTGGGCCCGCTGCCTGCCTGGGCAGGTGGCAACAACCTACAACCATGGCTGCCTGCTGGGTGCCACTTCCATTTCTGCCGGCGGGGGAGGGGGCCAACAACGTCCAACCGGGGCGGCCGGGGGGGTGCCACTCCCAGCCGCTACCTCAGCACAGTTCTGCCACCGCCTCCTTACAGACCTGCCATGGCAGCCAGCTGGGGGGCCCAGGGAGGGCCTGCTGGAGACCACCGGAGGCCAGCCACAGCTCTCTGGAGTGCCAGTCGCCCAGACCCCATCTTTCAATGCCTGCTCTCGGCCGCTGCGGACGGTGACGCCCTTCTAGCAGCGCGACTGCCCCAGGGAGAACGGAACAGAATAGAATAGAGCGCCCAAGGGCGCCACGTGGGCCAAGGCTGGGGAAGGCTGTCTCAGCAGGGGCACACAGTGACACCCCGAAGACTGGGACTCTGACACGCGAGAGGTCTCAGAAGCTGCCTCAGAACCAAGGCCCCTTAACCTGTCTCCGTGCGGCCCACCCCAAGCGCAGGGAAGGGGGTGGCTCTGGAATTGACTTATCTGACTGAGGAAACTTCTTTCCCATAGAAATGCACGTCTTAAATCCCTCCCTAGGAACCAGAGAAAAAAGACAGAGGTCTCCACGCCCCACAGCTATTCTGAGGGCAGCTCTGCGAGCTCACCCAGGGAATTAAGACCTCTGTCCCTGGGCTGTGCTGTCCCCCACGTTTCCAGAACTCCCGGGCACTCAGCTCCCAGAGGGCTACTTCGCTGCCCGTTGCCTGAGCTCAGGCTGTTCCCTCCTGCTCGGCCCGCTCTCCTCTGCCATCCAGGACGGATCGGCCTCAGCCGAGTTCTCCACGGCCCTCGTACGCGTGTGCATACATTGAGTACAAGCTGCATGCCTTTTCTCTGGGAAACCTGCCTTTGCTGGTTTTCAGGGACCTTCACGGGAGAGGGCCCTCCTCAGCCCCTGTGACATGCTACTGCTGTGGCACCCAGTCCTGCAGCTTGCCCCCGGGGTCGGGGCCCCTTTCTGCACAGTCACAGGTGCTAACTCTTCCCCGCCTTTGACGGCTCAGGGTCTGTGGGCCAGACCCACCTGGAGGAGGTCAAGGTCGGGCTTCTGAACTGTCTCCCGGACCTGGCTGCTGAGTTTGGAGAGCTGGGTGACCTCAGTCCCGATCTGGGCCAGGTTCTCGTTCTGCTTCTGTGTCACTTCCCGAGACAGCTCCTCCAGACGGCTCAGGAGCCGGCCCTCCTGCTCCACCAGGAAGGCCCGCAGCGCCTGGAACTCGGCCCCCACCTTCTCCTGCTCCGTGGCCATCTGCTTCTGCCTCAGCGGGAAGATGAATTGCAGAGTGAGGGCTGGGCACCAGGGGTTGTGTGAGCAGGAGCCAAGGCCCGGGCAGGGTCCCAGCCCCGTTTGCAGGCAGGCTCTGGTCTCAACAGTCCCTCCACCCAGGGCAGGTGCTCCCCTCGCCGCCTTCCACAGGGGCATCCATGCACCTACCCTCAACCCGATTTCAGACTCCCCAGAACTGCCTCACTGAAGGGTCCTCGTCAAAAGGTGGGAGGGGTACTTTAGTGCCTCCTGGGGCCCTCGGGATTAAGCTGGGGTTGCTTCTCTTCCCCAGATACATGTCATCGTTCTCAAACTTTCCCTTTTCACTCTACTTCATTTGAAAGAGCACCTTTTCTGTTCAGCAGTTCTCTGGACCCTACCATGAAACTCCAGCAGCACAGTGACACTCTCTCCCAGTGCTCTCTGGACATCGTGGAGAGCATTTTCAAGTGAAAATCACATGGCAAGGGCTGTACTCCACCTCCATGTACCCAGCATGAGTGTGAAGCCACCGTATTTGGGACTTGAACCGAGTTCAACCAGGTGGGAGTCCAGCAACATAACTATTACACTCTCTGCTTATCCTTAGGCAGATACTTTTAATGATAAAGAATGGGTAGGTGGCCAGCAGGTGGCATGGTTGTTAAGGTGCTGGATTCCCACATGGCTGACTGTAGTTCAAGTCCTAGATCTGGCAGCTTGCTTTCTCATTTCCCTTTCTCTCTGGTCAAATTATTAAAAATAAAAATAGTAGCAAATAAAATTAAATAAATAATAACTTTTTTGGGGGGGAGAGGTTTTCGTTATAGGGCGTGTGCGCTCGCAGACAGACAGAGAGAGACATAGAGACAGAAAGGCAGAAATCACCCCCCTGAGGGGATGGTCACGCCACAATCCCTTCTCCTCCATTCTCCTCTTGGGATCTCGGGCACGCACGCACACGCGCCCGGCGTGAGTTTTAAGTCACCGGGTCCGGGACACGAACTGCAGTCGACTACGTGGGAGTCCAGCGACACAGCCATTACGCTAACTGCTGGTTCCCAATAAATAATACCTTTTTAAAGAATTATTTAATTTTATTTATTCATTCATTTATTTTAATTTGACCAGAGAGAGAGAGAGAAAGAAGGAAAGGGAGAAAGCATGACACCAGGCCTGGGACTCAAACCATGGTTAACCATGTGGGAATGTCCAGTGCCCTAACCACCACGCCACCTGCTGGTCCCTAAATAAATAATTCTTAAAAAAAAAAAAAAAAAGAAAAGAAAAGAAAGAATGTGCAGGACAAGTGGGCTTTGGTGGGTGGATGGCATTGAGAGAGGATGGAGGTGGAGGGTCCTAGCCAATGGCAAGGGCAGACGGGGCAGAGGCTGAGAAGGGCTGGGCTGTGGGAAGGCCTCTTCGGAGGGCAATGGCTGGACAGCCAGGCTTCTCCTCAGTGTGCACCCCTTCCTGCAGCAGGAGGGAGGAGTGGGAGGTGAGCTCTCCCTTGAGGGGCTCCTGGAGGATGTGGGATGCACACGGGGCGGAGGTGTGCCCGGTGCGGTGGAGCGTCAGGGAAGGGTCTGAGTTCTCTGTGTTTGAGGGTCTCCCTGCCTCCCCCATGGATAGGAGGGCCCTAAGCTCTTCCTCCTCCGGTTCCTGACTGCAGAGTTGAAAGCCTGCCCTGACAGACCCCAGCACACCCTTTCACTGTTTCAACACCTGTTTGTTGAGCAAGGAACGAGATTCACAGGGAAGAACATGATCATCACAACCGCGTTGCCCACCCTGGCCAGACAGCCCCACTGCACTTTCCTGTCTGTGGAGGACAGCGACTCCCCACCCAGGGAGGGCAGGAGAGAGCGCACAGGGAGGCCTCCTTCTCACCCAAGCCCTGTCTCCTGCCTCTGCCCACATGGGCTACCCCTGAGCTCCTCCCTTCACCTCAATTTCAAACAAACAAAAAAAAAATAGAATTTTGTTATTCTTTCTTGTGGTAAAACATGCTTGGACTGACATGAGGCATTTATTGTATTTACAGTCCCACTTGATAAGAATATTCATGTATTTGTCTGCAGAAACATCAGTGCTCCCAGAGGCAATATGCCAGCCCACTCTCAGAACCCGTTCCTGTACTAAGTTGTAGGGTCGGCCTGTCAGGCGCCCTTACGTCTCTCCACAGCCCCAGGCTCAGCACCCCCAGAGCCCTGGCGGCCAAGGCCTCTGTAGGGCAGGGGACGCACCAGCAGCTCCTTGCCGTCCTTCTCTTCCGTGGCCTGGAAGGCCTCGTAGTCCTCCAGCTCCTTCTTCAGGACGCTCAGCCTGGACTCCAGGAGCTCCTGCGGGCGAGAAGGAGAGCGTTCTGGCCGCCCAGCCCGAGAAGGGCCAGGCCCTAGCTCACGACAGAGAAGGTCAGCGGAAGTCAAATGTGGACGTGAGGACTCTTCCAGCTTGTGCGGGCTCCCCCGAAGGTACAGGGCAACTGCAGGGTGACTCCGAAGATGCCCCACCCCGCGCCCCAGGCTTCTTTCCGAAGTGTCTGACTCACAGTCCGGGCTAATGCAATCCCGGCCCCCTGCTTGTCCTGTCCTCTGCTCCGGCCCGCCATCAGAAAGCCTTCTGGTTGGAGAAGGACCGGGAACCGTGTGCCAGAGGTCTCCACGCGCCTCGACGTGCCCCAAGGACGAGGCAAAGGA